GTTAGGCATGTTTGTTAAGAAAATTAGTAAGGCTACTTTCCAACTAAACTAAATATTTATTTCGCATTAGACCCTTCTCTTTTCCCATCCTCTCATTTATTAATAGCATTATCAGGGGGAAACAGTTGATGCATGAATTTTTTCAGTCACTCTTAGCCAACAAAAAAATGTTGTTCAAGAGCCAATGCATAATGTCGTACCCAGAATTTTATAGACATCGAAAAATATTGCAAGCCAGTTGCTAAAAAGCCAATCCTGTAGTAAGTTTATATTTTTGGTCAAGGAGGCATGCATAAGCAAACATATAAGCCCGTATCGAGAATTTTACACAGACATCGAAAAATGTTGTGATTTTTATTTTCTAGTGTATGTATTACAATTAATTATATAATTACCTCATAATCGGGACTGCAAAATTCCTCATGAACAGGTGCTAGATGTGGTTTCCGGGTGCAAGAATCCTTCTCCCCACGGAAGGAGTCTCTCTTCTTCACATGGAAAACAATTACTCCTTAGAAACATGAAACACCTTCATATGCAACCAAAGGAAGAAAAAAGAACAGGGCAGGAAAGAGTAAGTTGCTGGCCAGCACCTTCGGATACACTATCTCATCCTCAGAGATTGTTTTCTCATCAGCAACTAAAGGACCGGACTTTGACTTTCCATTCTTGTCATTTTGAATCATCTGAATATAGTAGTTCCATCATCAGTAGAGCCATTAACTTATTATTCTAGACTTCAAACTTCTATGATAAGTTTGTATAGTTGATTCAGCAAATAAATTATTACTTGTCTGGTCTATAGATACAAAAATTATGAAGATGGTTTTCTCTATGGGATAATGAAAGCATATCCTTCTCCATCAAGGAAGATATTTTTCAATATATAGTTTCTTAACTGCCAAAACCCAACAAAAATATTGAAAGAAAATAAATAATCATATGCACCCCCATCATCTCGGCATCCTTCCACGGTCCTTTATCTGAGCGAAGACATCCTCCTTCACCAGCACATTTGCAAGTACCCCCAAGGAACTCTGGCAATTCACTGTAAAAGACAATATAAGTAATGGAAAATATAATTCATGAATGCAAGATAAATACGCTATTAAATTTATGAAACCAAACCTGGCATCAATCACCTCAAGCAGTTTGCTCTGATACTTGCTCCCTAGGACCTGATGTACATAATTATAATTTGTTACATTCAATTCTAAGGATGAGATATACACACTTCTCAGTATATACAATTACTTTAATGACCTTACATGAATTTTTGCGGTAGTTTTTGGGTCAAGGAAACTCTTGACGGTGTTCCACAAAAGTCGGAATCCTTGACCTGCATTGATGATAAACATGCGGCACATCGTCTGTGGTATAAAATAGTTCACAAAAGTTATAATGGAGTAATATAATCGCTTGTTTGACAGTTTTGTATATCGTGGAAAGTACCTCAGGGTAGTTATCACCATCGACTTTCTGAATACGGCCAATGAGGTCTCTCGCTGCCTTGTTGAATTGTTTATATCCCTGACACAAGAATAATAGAAATAAGATTACAAAGTCAGAAGTTCCAAAGATGTATTTCTTACAGTTTCATGCCCTTAAACGTTAAATATACTCGTGATGGAAAAGGATTGAGATATGAAACAATATTATCATAAGGACATAGGTCCAATGTTTAGATATTCTCATTCATATGACAAATACATAAGATGTATGAAGGTTGCATGGACATGATTAAACAAATCATGTAACCCAGATGTGTACATAGAGAACAACGATGAAGTATTATACAGAATAATTTATAAAACTACCGAGAACTTTGATGTGCTTTGCACAAACTACCACGAACTAAGTTATTATAGAAAACCACCGTGCACATTTTCGCTAAACCACCATGCTTGACGGAAGTTGGCCTAAGTTGTCACCTGCTTCACATGTGCAATGTTTTGGACTAACTTACCCTTTTGTACTTTATATATCTTCTAAATTATCCTGTGAACTTTGCTGGTGGATAGATACAAATAATAGTAGTTTGGATCTTCTACACAAGACATTGACATCGTTGTAAACAATTTCCAACAATTCAATGATAGATCTGGAATAGAAAATTCTATGATTTTTTTTCAAAAAAACCCCAATGGTCGTGTTAGTTTTGTAAATTTTACCCTATTAATTATTATGTATATCTGAACATAGACATAAATGAGGCCATTCACTTCATAAATTGGTACATAGATGCTATTAAGTTGATAAATTCCTTAAAATTTAATGTATTTATTGATCCAATAGAAGGATTTAGACAGCTTATGATAGTGTATGAAGGGATCAAAGATCTCATACCACACCAGACACATCAAGGATGCTTGTGCTTTGGTCAATGTGTCTCTTTGCTGCGTAAGAGCAAGCAGGGAACTTCACAGCAAAGCACCTCTCAAACTCCCTAACATGGTACTTCATGTAACGGTCCAAAGTTGTGACCTGCAATAATTTGTTGGAGTCGATTTGCCCGAGTTTTTCAAAGTAAACAGGCCTGCCTTCCTTATCAACCCCATGGTGGCATTGTGGGTATATCTCTAGGACTTCATCAAGCTCCTTGAATTCAAATTCCTGGAGAATTAAAAAAAAAAGAAATTTAAGATAACTAAAAAGCAAATAGATCAATAATTGAGGGAGTAGTGGGTTACGGAACTATTTCTAGAAAAGAGGTGATGTAAGAGACCAAAGAAGTCAGAAGGAAATGGCTGTCATGTGCAGCCTGTAATGTCTTTTATAAGAAAAATTTTCAATTTCTTAGAAATAATATCCTTAACCTGTGCTATGCACATTTGGAAAATGAAACATTGCAGAAAATTAATAGTGAAATATAATTACATTTATGAAAATTAGAATAACTGCTATCAAGAAATTTCAAGTATTTATCCAAGAAAGCAACACAGAAAGCGAAACAGAAATTGTTTTCACACCTAAAATCTAAGACATTATGATAAAAGTGATAATTTTTCAATGCAAATAGAACAAGCTGAGGGCGCTAAAATAATACTTATCTAATTAGTATGACAAGGTTTATCTAAATTAAGTACTTGTTCATAAATTGACCTAATTCAATTGTTTATCCAGAAAAAAGAAGCTGTGCTAAAAATACATAATATTATGATAAATCAAAGTAGTATTATGATGTAAATAGTATTAAGATATATCTCATGTTGGAGTGATTTTTATATATGGCATGGAAAAAAATATCTAAGGGGTGCTTCATACACAGGTAAGGGTTTATAAAAAGAAGTTAAATAGTTAAATTTGCAGAAGGAAGGGAGACAGGGATTGAAACGGTAAAGAAAATTAGAGGCACAGCTTCTATTATGGTTCTATTATATTCTGAATAACCTGAGGATGAACTTTACCTCCAAGATAGAATCAGTACCAAATTCCTTCCTCCACTGGAGCATATCAGACCACATTTGCTTTGCTTTCTCAATGTCAAATTTCCTGGCCTTCAAAAATCTGCACGATTTCATAGGAATGTATATGTTTTGAATTACTTTGAAATGCATGTTTCGTTTAACTATTGAAACAGAGGTATTCTATTATGAAGCCAACTGATAACTGAATCCGCAGAAATCTATAGAGCAAAATATCTCATATACCCTCTTCACAATTGAATTTTCCAAGATAAAAGTGACGTGATAAATAGTTTCAGTTACAAGTTATTGTTAGTTTATAAACATGAGTCTACTTGTAAACTAAGCTGAACTTGTATTATGCATTCATTTCAATTTCAGTGTGCTAAACAAGCTCTAGTTAATTTGTTTACAAATACTCATTTCAAAAAGGGTAAATTGCGGATAGAACCCAGAAGTTCTATTGTTGTGAATAGACCCCGTAGTCCCCTATACTATCGCCCAATTCCGATCAGACCTCCTGAGTTTTTTTTTTTACTATTTATGCTAGGAGGTCTATTTGTCAAAAAAAAAAAATTTCTTTTCCTCTGAGGGTACAAGAGTAAAAAAAATCTCATTCAAGGGTTTATCAGCAACAGTAGAACTGCAGGGGTTCTATGATTCTATCTACAATTGGGCGATAGTAAGGGGTGTACCCACAATTAACGCTTTCACAAATATAACAAAGAGAGACTATAACCTTTCGTTCAAAGAAAGTTATTTTAGTTAGTACATTGAATTTCCCTGGATAGATAAATGTCAAACAGTACAAGAACAACAATTTAATGTAAATTTTGTTCTTGTTTTTTTACATAGAAATTTAATGTAAATTATGTTAGATAGTTATAAAGTTGAGGTTAAAGAGGGACCTTAGCATCATGTGGTAGTCATCATGTTTGGAAGGAAGCAACTCCTCAAGAATAAGAGTTTGGCGGAAGGCATCGACAGCCTGCATTTCCTCAGCATCACGGATGTCCTCAATGGCAACAGACATCACTTTACTGCTTCTCCTACCCCTTTTGGACAAGGAATTCCTGAACTTCGATGAAACCTTCTTCTTCAGAGATCCTGACTTTATTTTCCTCTCATCCTCCGAGTTCTCAACGTGGCCTTCAAGACCTGTAATCAATAATGCCCCCGATACATGTAAAAATTTGTTGAACTTTGGGGTACTTTTGGGCAAAAGAAAATAGGGAGATTGAAGCTAAAAACAAGGTAAACTAGGGTACTTTTCACATTAAAAAAATACTTTTGGGTTAAAGTTAAAAATAGAGTAAACTTTGGGGTACTTAGGTGCAAATAACCCTTAAGCAAATTTTAGTTCGAGTCGCCTACAAGAAATGGAGTGATGTATGTAAAAATTTAAGCCATCTGGACCAAGAAAGATCCAAATATGGTAAAACAGAAAGAAGTAAACGAAACTAATTTACCATGCTTTCGGTCCATAACTTCGCTCATTGTTCTTAATGACGAACTGGACCTGTATACGAAAGACAGTTAAGAACTCATATGAAGGAGGATAGCAACGCGTACGCGTTTCCAAGCACCTGGAAATTACAGCAACTTTATATCAATGATAACAATGGATACTGGATTATGACAAAGAATACTAAAGTGTTTCAAATTTGATTATACTTGAGAAACAAGACCCAGGCAATGAAAACCACTACAGCTGAATAATCATAAGAAGGTAGCATCCTAAAACTGAACATTCAAGAATGTCAATAAATTGAAGATTATACTCTAAATGGCACGACGAGCTTATTCAAAATCAAAAGTGAAAGAAGCTCATAAGTCATACCCAAATAATGTATCAAAACCAACCAACACAATGCAAAGATTTCTGCTCAGAATCTACTTCAAATTGCAAAATAAATAAAAAAACCCACCAATCACAATGCATACCCTAACTCGACTAGCATTTTTACCTAAAATATACATTTAAACGCAATAAATACATGATTTAATTTCTTCTTCTTTCTTTCTTAAAGAAGGATTTCATGGTCCAAGAGCGAAAGCCAAGGCGGAAACTTTTCACTGATTGCAACATAACTAAAATGGGGGCAAGCCCATTTAGTCTCAATTTGACTATGTTGGTAGTTTATGTTGGTTTATAGATATAGTTTTAAGATATAAATTTGCCTAGGTCTCTATCAAATAGTATCATATCCAGCTTGGACAAATTTTCAAAACCAACCTGTTTTGAATCTTAATCACAAAAAAGACTTGTTTCAAACTTTATTTCAAAAACCGACCCAGTTGGCTGAAACTGGATCGATTTTTTGAAAAAAGTTCTCAAACTTCACGGGAGTTGAAGTCTCGTGAAGTATTTTACGTAACAAAACTTCACGAGACTTCAACTCCTGTGAAGTTTGAGAAGTTTTTTTCAAAAACCAACCCAGTTTCAGCCCAACTGGATCGGTTTTTGAAATTAAGTTTAAAAGAGGTCGGTTTTTGGGATTTTTTTGGCAAAGAAGTCTGTTTTGAAATTTGTCCTATCCAGCTTCTCATCATATTTTCTTGCTTTTAGGGGCGAATCCTCCAAGCTCTCTAACAAATAAGAAGAGAATAGGGAATGGGGCTACATTTTCAAGACCCATACAAAGCAACCAAATCAAATTTCCACGTGAAATCTATATCTAATTGCAAAACAAAGAGTAACCCAACAAATATAGAGCATTTCTACTCCAAATCATCATCTTTGGGAAATAGGAATCTATTGCTGTTTACCTGCGAGCGCAATGAGGAACACAAAAGAGATTGAGGAGGGGAAAAGGGAGGGTTATAAGGAACAAAATTGATGCTTGGGATGGAACCTGATCGAGATTCTTGTGGGGGTTGACGAGGTCTCTTGGCTCTTTTTTGTTGTGAGGTTGAGAGAGAGGCTTGCCGAAGTGCAAGCGACTCCATTGATAAAGCTGTCTTTTTTTCCCCATTAATGGCTACTATTTTAAGGCAATCCCGCAAAATTTAGGAGATTTGTGAGTCTGGAGGAGAGCGAGGGAGCTCACACAGAGAGAATAAATGGGATATTTTACTTAAACACCCCTCAAAGCTATCACGTTTTCAAATTTACTCCCAAATCTCGGTATCTGTCAATTAGTAAACCCTCCTGAACTTTGTCGGGTTCTGCGCATAACATTCTTGGACTGTATTTATACATGAGTAGCAACTAAAATTTCTCCTTTTTTTGGTAAGTAATTATATCTTGTAGTTATAGATGTTACACACATGCAGCATATACTATATGTTAGGACATCGTCCAGTGCGATATTTGTTATTTGAGTAGTAACAAATATTCATTTGAGTCTAATTTATATATGAGATAGTCGAACGAGACGAAAATAATCGAAAATCAGCTGAAAAGTTGATTCAGCGCTGGACCATCAATGGTTCCACATTGACCATCGATAGTGACCATGAGACCATCAATGATGCTATAGATCATCAATCGTGCAACTGTTCTAAGAGGTTTAGATCATCAATGGGTTCATCAATTATCAATGGTCATTTCAACACCATCAATGGTCACTTCGACACCATTGATGGTTGAGATCAACCATCGACGGTTTAACGACACATTTTCATATTTCAGGTTTTAATCTCAGTCGTTCGTCACATATGGACTTCTATTTTTCTCTTACATTTTGAGGGTATTCTTTTTGAACTAATGTGAGGAGAAAAAGAAAAAGAAAGAGAGAGGATCTAGGGTTTGGGAAAATTGATCTAGGAGAACCTTTTCGATCCCTCGGAGTCTCGTCGATCGCTTACTCGCCACCCACAACATCATCCAATCAATTCACAACAAGGAGAGTTGACCTTAAAGTTCATCATCATCCTCGTTCTTCATCAAGTTGTGCTTCAATCATTTGGAGAACGGTTTGCTAAACAAAAGGGCTATGAGATCATTTTTTATGTTGAGCTTAGCTATTATTTGTTGTTTGTTTATTGAACTTCTTTTATGGTGTACTCTGTAACGTAGTTCGTACTAGCTCTTGTTTGAGTAATAATAAACTCTCATTTGGTTCTAATAATTGTTTGAGATGATATAGTACATGCGAAAATAAATATACGAAGTGCACGAGGCGAAACGATGCAAAAATAAGCACAAGTGCTGATTTTAGCCATCAATGGGCCTCAGCAACCTATCAATGGGTAAGAGATCATTGATAGTCTACTGGAACAAATTGCAGATTTTTAGAAATAAGATTTCAACTCATCAATGGTTTACAAGAATCCATAGATGTTTCTTAGGAACCACGATAGTCGTGAAGGCCCATCAATGGTGACAATGAATAATTGTGTATTTGATGACTTAATCATAACTCTTCATTGATTTCTTTCATCTGTAACTTTCACTATGATTAGAATATCTCTTTCCAAATTAATTAGAAGCTATAAAAGATTGAAAAAGGTAAATTAGACGAGGAGATTCTGGGGATTTGATAAGAGTCTGAAGAAGAGAGAAATTTTAGGGTTTGTTTGAAGAAGATTGAATTAAAGTTTTGAAACCTCGAAGCCCCAACAAACTCTTTCTCATCGCGCTCATCATATTTGGATCATCTCAGTAAGGAGAGTTGCTTTCATCATCTACACCATTTTTCATCAAGCTCCACTTTGATTCATTGAATGACGGTTTGTTAATCGAAAAGGGCTATAAGATCTTTCTTATTTTTTGTGTTTAAAATGTGTTTGTTAGTTTGTTTCAAACTTATTTTTATGGCGTACTCAAGCCGTTATTAATTGAGGGTTGGTACTATATAGGACTAGGTGTTACTCATTGTGGAGAGTTAGATTAGATCACTAGCTTCGAATAGATTTCAGGATGCGGTCTTTATAAGCCTACTGAATTAAGTTATGATTCGGGTGAACTCTTAGTTTAGTGAGGAGGCCCCTTCATGATAAGGAAGAGTGGATGTAAGATTGTTATTCGAACCACTATAAAATCTTGTTTAATTAGTTGGTTATTTTTCACTTTTATTTTATCTATTTCGCTGCATATTCTGTGATTTTAGTGAAAAATGATAGCAACCCTATTCACCCACTTTAGGCTTACATCTTAGTTCCAACATACTCAAGCCAGTTGCATTGAGGGTTATGAACTAGCTAGGGCAAGAAATTACTTATTGTGGTGAGTTAGGTTAGACGATTAGTTTTGGGATAAACTAGGACTTAGTCTTATATGCCTTCTAAATTGGTTTGTAATTCAGATAAGCTTTTTCATAATGAGGAAGCTACTTCGCGAAAAGAAAGAGTGGATGTAAAATTGTTTACTCGAACCACTATAAAAATCTTGTGTCTCTGATTTCTTGTTTTTGTGTTTGGGACTACTGCTTATTGGTTAGTTTTGGGAAAAACTATAGGTAATCTTATTCATTACATTCTAGACTTGCATCTCAGATCCAACACTATAGTCTTTATTCGTTATAGGCAGAGATATATAGCTATATATCTTTGTTAATTTTTTTTTTGTATTGTATGTAGAAGCAGTGCTCAAATTGAAAATACAATCAAGCCAAAGCCTTGATCTTTTCTTTTCTTTTCATGTTTTGAAACAAATATTTCACTTCTAGCTACTTATAAAAAAAATTTACATGATCTCTCTCTCTCCCATCAGTACTACAAAACAGTGCATATATATTTGAGGATTCAGTTGGTGGCACGACTGACACGTTGGAGGCATGTGAACTACAAACAGTGGAGGATGCTCTGACTTCTTTTGATCGGGTTTGTTATCATCAGGTTTCTTATCGACGGGCTTTGGAGGTGCTGGAGGTGGTCCTATGCTCATCACCTCTGCGAATTTTCCAGCTTTTCTTGTTCTTTTGAGCACATCTACTAAATCAGCACTGCCAATGACTGTCAGGGTACTCTTTTCTTAATCGATCTCGATCTTATCAATACCTGTTCATAACTCACAAGCCATGACATGGCTTGTAGTTAACATCCACCCTGAATTACTAACATATATAATTTCATATTGTGCATGTGTTTTCATAGTTAATTAATGGAGTTCATTAAATTTCAATAAATTGTGTGATTTAATAACATCTTGAACTTTCTACATTAGAGAGAACAAATAGAAACTTATTAAACTAAAGTATCCTTGGGTATCCTGTTGTTGTGGATCATGCCATGAGACTTGATAATTTCTTTATGAATTTCTCCTTAATATCTTGTGCTTTACATGTGTTATATTCTGTTAGATAAGGGTACTTAGTCATCATAATGCTATGGAGTTCCTTGAAAACTAAATGTTCGTGCTAATTTACTATATACTTTTCAAAGATCTATACCAGCCTCATGACAATAGGCAAAATTTTTAATAAATTTTTGCAATCTAACATTTGAAATATAACCCTTGCATCTTATTGATTAAACCGTGCTCTTTCATGAACAGTGTAGAATATTGACCGTCTCATTCAATCCGATTCTTTTGGCGTACATTTCTTCAACTGATGAGCTTTATAATCACATTAAATAGCCAACTAAAGATTCAATAGTAACTAAAATTAACTAATAATTCTAGTTTTCCAATTGAAACCGGATTCTTGCTAGAAAATAGATGGCAATGGGAAAAATCCATTTATGAACTAGCATTCTTGACCAAAACATTAGAGCTATAGCGTATGCATAATATTGTTTGTTGAATGTGATAGGAAATAGAGATTACCAAAACATTATGAGCTTCTTCTTGCATTTTTGGCATGTGATATGAGCCTTGAGCACAGTCTTCTTCACCATGGTGACTCTCTCTTTCGATCTCTGAAGATCTCAAAATGAACAAAGAATAGTGGATTCGATATGTACTAGCTTTAGTAGCTAGGCATGCGAAGTTCTAGTCAGATTCTTATGGATGATTAACTCCTCCTAGAATTAGGTTGTCATTAGCCTTTTTTTAAAAGGAACCATATATTTTTTATCTCACAACTTGCTCAAGAAATAACTAATACTACCTTTTATTCTCTCTATTCTCTCTCTTTTGAAGTCATTTGGCAAGGATGTAATCAGTCAATTAATATGCATATTATGATAGAATCAATATACAAAGTTTGAGTATGTAGGAATCAATGGGCATATGGAGCTACCTGCTCTAGGTTGGATACAAATCACTGGCATCTACCTTCAAAGTGGTTGAACATCAACTGTACTCGACACTGATAGTCGCGACGCCATAAGTATTTAGTTACAACTTATTCAGAAAAAAAGTGTTTAAGTTGATTGCAGAAGTCATTGGTCTTTATCTTGTCTTCTATTTAATTTGTGGCTAGCTAGTACTCTAAGTAGCAGGTATTAGCATGGTGATGTCATGCTTATTGCAAAGCTTTTCGGCGGTTTGGAAATGAAGTAAAAACTAGACAGTTGATTATGACACGAGCAAAATGGATTAAAATGTTAGGAAGCAGGAGAAGGGTGAATTTTCATGCAGCTTTATTCATCCATAGAATCAGAGTAAGTTCTGGTTCAGTACTCCATGGGTCGGTAAATAATACCTCCATACGATCAGAGGTTATCTTTATTCAATGTTTTTTCTTTATCTATATTCTTGATTGCCAAATGTTAGTATTTCTTTCTTCTGTCTTCATAATTATAAAGTAAGATGGTCAATAACAAAAGTTAAATTTTATGCAATAGTTGGAAGAATCAAGTTATTTCTCTTTACGCCATATGCGATAATAGAAGCAAACAACTTTTGGGCAGCCTAGTAGGTCACGTAGCAAAGCCGCGCGCGTCGCTCCTTGTGTGGGAGTCTGGGTTCGATTTCCATGTGCGCCAACAGTAGCTGTGTTGTTTGTGTTGCTGTTATTATGTACTGTGCATACATCTCTTACCATGTCTCTAAAAGCATATGCGAAAGTAGTCCATAGGACATCATGTTCTTCGCTAGAGTTATCGCGGGTTTTCCTACCCTACAGTGACAGTACCAATATTCGTCCTCATGGGACGATCACTTCTGAGCATGATCAGAGAAAATTGGTGAAGTATCTGC